ATGTGATGAATTGCATTTGCAATTGACCCTACAGGGCTCGCGACTATTGAAACCAGATCTGCCGAGGGTCTAATCGGGAACATTTCGGTGGTCGTTGACTACGACCCGGACTGCAAGGTCCGGCAACTCAAAACTGGACTACCCAGCCCCGGCAAGGTCGTTGAGTACACTGGGCTTGGGTGTGCTTAATGTATCATGCGCGTGGAGAACTACGAGATGACTCTGTGGGATCGTAAGGAATGTGGGGTGGACAAATTGGCAGTGGGTGACTGTGCCATTTCTGACTCCTTTTTGTAGTGTCCTCACATTTCCGAGCTATGCCGAGTGTACGTGTTGTACTTGGCAGTTCTACTGCAAGATGACGATGGATTACTTGCTCCGCAAGTGCCGCGCACGTGGAGTGACCTATTGGCCGAACAACACCATGCGCCACTACGCTTTGAAGGTGGCGTTACGGCGGGACTATGACGTGTGCTATTAGGACGTGGTGAAGCTCATGGAGGACAAGAACTACAGTTCGAAGATCAACAAGCTTTGGGCGAATTGGAGGACGGACACCTCCACAGCGTCACGGCGGTCGTTGATTGACGCCTTGGAGATTGATGTGGAGGCTGATGGCGTATTCAAGATCGAACTAAGCTAAGCTGGACCCCGTTTTCCGGAACAGCAGGTCACCAAGCGTGTCGGTAGGACGATTGGGATTTAGCATGCGCAGAGCACGCCTGAGGGCAGAGGTGACCACCTGGATCCGAGGGCAGAGAAGAAGGCAGTGATCCAAGGTCTCCTCCCCTCCGAAGTAGGGGCAGGTTGGTTTCCCGCTGAGAAATGCAAGGCGCTCCCCCACTTGCAAATTTAAGTTGTGGACACGAATGAGGACATCACGTGGACGGCTGGGGACTGCCAGCGAGTCTCGTGACGACACCACCCACTTCCAGTTGATTCGTCTCCCCCATCTTTTCGCCCACTTCTCCCTCTTGCTCGACTCCTGGTAAGCCCCTTTCCAGCATTCCCTCATCTTCCTGAAGGGAATCACCTCCCCTCCCTCCAGAATGTTCAACGGGGGGGTGGATTCAGCCGAGCAGGGAGGGACCGAACAGAACCCTAGCAGTTGCCACCAGGACGCTGGCAGGGTAGTCAGTGCTTTCACCGCCAACCTCGCTGGACCGTTTCCCGAGCAGCCGTGACAATTCTCTCTGCTGCTTTAACACAAGCTCGCCGTTACCGTCTACCTCCAGCAGATCTCCAACACACACCTCCCAGAGTCCCTTGCCATCCTTTTGCCCACCAACGGGCGTATGCAGTAAAGATGCCTTGTTGAAAGCTAACCACTCCTTCAGTATCTCCACTCTGCTGACCGCCGTCGGCCGGACGCAGAACGGAGAGTTAACAAAATTGTCGCACGTTTGCTTCCACCTCATACTCCTACTCTTCCAATGTTTCACCAGGTTCGCGTGTGAAGAGAAGGTGTCCTCGCCCAGGGGTAGATCTGCCGCCTGCGCCATAATTGCTTTCTTCATGGGGTTCTGCTCCGTGAGATAGAGGCCCACTCTCCTGGCTGCGAGACATGTGATGGTTATCTCCGGATCTTTCAAACCGATGCCACCCGCCTCCTTTGGGGTGTAGAGCAGCGTCCTGCTCCAGAGTATGAATCCCTTCACTGTCGCCACGCGGTTACCTGACGTGAAGCTTTGCAGCAACCTGGTAATTTCTTCCCAAATATCTGCCAGGGGAGGGTAGATCTGCGCTTGGAAGGCTAGCAGCGGTGTGATGTAGCTGTCGACGACTGTAGCCCTTGCAGTTATCATGAGGTACTTCAGCTGCCACTTCGTTAATTTCCCCACGATGTATTACCACGCCTTCTCCTATGTTGGCAAGCCGCTTCCGGAAGGCGTCACCCAGACTCCCAGCAAGCGCTCTGCATCCTCCGCACCGGCCCATTTGAAGTCACTTGAACCGTCGCCCTTCTCGCCCAGGTTCGCGCCAAGAGGCAGTAGCACCGACTTCGACTTATTTGTTGCCAAACCGGACACTTTCTCGAACCGATCCACCACCTTCTCCGCTTTGACTCTTTGCTCCGCGCCTTGCAGGGCCAACATTGTGTCGTCGGCGTAGCCGAGGTAATCAAAGCGCGGGCCCTGCTTGGCGAGACCGAGTTCCTGTCTTTCCACCTCCCTCGCCAACGGCTCAACTGCGCAGAAGAAGAGAAGGTGCCAACGGGCATCCTTGCCAAACACTCGACGCCACTTCCACACCTTTCCCCGTCCAGCCATTAATCATCAATTTTGTCAATGTGTTGGCGTGCAGGCCCTTTATCCATTCGACGAACCGCTTTGGAAAACCCATCTTGGCCAACACTTCAAATAGGAAGTCTCTCGACACCGAATCGAATGCTTTTTGAAAGTCCACCACAAGTAAGTACCAGTCCTCGTTGCCGTTCTTAGCAGCGTCTATAACGTCAGCCACCAGCGCCACCGCATCCGATAGTCGCCGCCCCGGGATGAACCCGTACTAATCTGGGGAGATGACCAAGTGAAGCACCGACTTCATTCTATCCGCCACCACCCTTGCCAGGACCTTGTAAGTGAAATTTAGCAGGGTAATCGGTCGGTAGTTGTTAATCTCGCCTTTCTCGCCTTTCTTATGCAGCAAAGTAGTAACCGTTTCCTTGGTTTCTACTAGCAGGGAGGCAAATGACTCGAAGCTCCTCACCATGGTCATGAAGCTTTCCCCCAGCAGGTCCCAGTGAGCTTCGAAGAGCTCCTTGGGCAGCCCATCCCCACCAAGCGATTTGTTTTTTGCCATCGCCGCAAACGCCTTCTTTACCTCCTGCTCGGACCAGTCCGCCGACAGTATCTCCGCCACCGCACCGTCCAACCGCCAAAGCGAGGTAAGATCCCAGTCCGAGAAGTCAGTGCGTCGATCTTTCCCAAAGATTTTCCGAAAGAAAACAGAGGCTGTGTCCAGGATCTGCTGTGAGCCAGTAAATCTTCCTGCACCGACTTTGGTCTCCTTGATCTGGGTGCACGCTTTCCGATCACGGACCTTCGCCGACAAATGCTTCGAGGCCAGCTCCCCCATGAGTTCCGCCGTGAGGCCGTCGTGAAGGTACAGTCGCTCGGTCCATGAGTTGTTGTACTCCTTCAGCTTTGTCTCCCTCGCCTCCAATAAAGCTCTTATGACAGAGCAGTCTGGGTTCCGCATCATTTCCTGCTTCAGCTTAGCCACCGTAGATGTCAAGTGCAGAAGAGTTTTTTTAATCCGTTTACTCTCCTCCTTTGCATACATTCTGAGCCCGGCTCCCAGTCTCTTCAGAAGCAGCTCGAAGCTGCAACCATCATTCACAGGAGTGCGTAGCACCGTTGCCTCTATGATCTTCCGAACGCCTGGACGGTGGATCAACGAAGCGTGTAAGCGCCATAAACTTGGACCTCTGCAGTGCTCCTTATCAAGCCTGAGAGCGACAGAGATCGCATACCCGTGGTCTGAAATGGGTTCGTCAGGCATAACATGCGCAGAGTAAAAAAGGTAGGGGATCAGGGATTGTGAGACTAAGGCTCTATCAATGCGAGTGCTGACTCTATGGCTTTTTGCAAAAAAGGTGTACTCCCTGCATCCTGGATGTAGGATTCTGAAAGCGTCTGAAAACTGAAAGGCCGCGCAGCGGTGGAAAAACCGTTCGTTTTCTAAGGCCTTGCCATGTCCTCTCGAGTTGTGTAATTTTGGGTTCTCTATTATGTTCAGGTCGCCTATCAGCAGGAGATGCTCCGATGGTGAGATCTGATCTAGAAGGGGACCGAAGGAGTCTCTAAAGAAGGCGGATCTGGCTGGAATGCTGGATGGGAAATAGATCGCAAGGAGGACTATGTCTAAACCGAGACCTTTGATCGTGGTTTTCACTATTCTACCAGACTGGTGAGCTAAGGAATCATGGAACGTGATGGCGGGGTTACAGCTGAGGATGGCTACACCGCCAGCGCTGGTCCTAGGTGCGGTGGCTATGAAGGAGGTGGCTGAGAGAGAGGTCCAGTAAGGATGGTTTGAGGTGAGTCTGGTGTCAACTAGCACGGCTATGTCCGATCATGTCTTAAACCATGTTCTTACTCTGTTCTGCTTGGTGTTGTTGCCTAAACCGTTCACGTTTAAGCTTGAAAGGGTGAAATGGTTTTTAATATTCATGGGTCCACTGACTTGCAGCCCATGATCATCCACAGGCTGATATTAGAGACAGTTCAGGCGACGCTGTCAAATATTATATATGTTGCTATTCTGTAGGCTACAGTGGGTTTAGCCTTAGGGGGTACAATATTCTAGGTTTTCCTACTTGTACTCCCAATGTTGTCAGTCCAACCACTTCTCATTCTGACATGGTATTAAGAGCCTAGGTTAGGGACCTAGGACCGCTTACCTAAGGGCCCACCGTTCCGCTAGAGGTGCCCTCGTGCGCCCTACCGTCTTAGCGCCCTCGTGCGCCTCTCTCCTAGTGCGCCCTCGCGCGCCCTCCTCTCACGCTGCTCGTTTGCAGCCCGCTAGCAGCCCGAGCGCGGCCCCGCGTTTTTAGCGCAAGTAGCCCGTTAGCCGCCTAGGGCAGCCTGATTTTTTCTCGCGCGCGCCAGTAGGCCGTCGCCCGTAGGCCCCGCTCGCCCCTAGGCCGACGCTCGACCCACCGCCGCCCGCCCGCAGGTCGCAGCCCGCACGAAGCGGCGATCGCGCGTCGGCTGCTGCAGCTCGAGCTTAGCCGCCGCACGAATGCAGCCGCGGCCCGCGCGCAGCCGCACCCTAGGCGCCGCCGCGCACCATGCATAGGCCCGCCGTCGCGCCGCCCTACCTGCCCGAGCCGCGTCGCCCGAGTCGCGCCGCCCTGACCGAGCCGCGCCGCCCCGCCTGCAGCAACTGCTGTTCCTGTTCCTGCTGTTACAGCTGTTCTTACTGCTACAGCTGCTACTGCTACTGCTCTTACTGCTACTACTGCTACTGCAACTGCTACTGCTGCTACTGCCACTATGGCCAGTCCTACCGTTCTCACTTTTGACTCTGAGGGCCGTCCGATTAAGTTTGACGTTTGGCTCGATGACCTGCACCTGTTCCTCCAGATCACTGCTAAGGACGATGTTTCCCTGTTTGACCACACGTCCGGCGCCGCTCCCGCACCTGCTGCTACTGCTGACAGCACTGCTCGCTCACAGTGGCAGACCCGTGACGCTCATGCTCGCCTAGCCGTTCACAGCCACCTACCGTTAGATGAGCGCGAGCACTTTGGCCAGCATAAGACCGCTAAGGAGCTGTACGATGCTGTAGTTGCACGCTACTCCTCCCCTGCTACTGCTGCGATAGGCCGTCTCTCACTGCCCTATCTCTTCCCCAATCTGTCTGCTTTTGCCACTGTAGCTGACCTCATCACGCACCTCCGTACTAGTGATCTTCGCTACCGTGCCACGCTTCCCCCCGATTTCCTAGCCAAGAACCCTCCCCCGATGTACCTCACACTCTATCACCTAGTCACCCGCCTCCCTGACTCCCTTCGCACTGTCAGGGACCACTTTCTCGCCCTCTCCCCTACCGACCTCACTGTCGACCTACTCGAGAAGGAAATCCTAGCAGCTGAGAAGAGCATTGTAGCTGTAGGTGCCTCTCGTGGCGACCCTCGCGCCCCCTTCTTTGAGGGGTGCTTCCCCGTCCCCCTCCTCCCCTCCATTGCATCTGCTGCTGCTGTCGACTACCTCGGTGCTGAGGGGGTCGGGGCTGCGTCTGCTCCTAGTGGGAGGCACAAGGGCGGCAGGGGCAAGGGGGGCAGGGGTGGCGGAGGTGGCGGCGGGGGCGGCGGTGGTGGAGGGGGCGGGGGTGGTGGCGGTGGTGGGAGTGGTGCTAGTGGTCGGGGGGTCAGTGGCGGAGCCGAGGGTGGTGGCGGCGGCGGTGGTGGGGGTGCCGGGGGTGGTGGCGGCGGCGGTGGTGGGGGTGGCGGGGGTGGTGGTGGCAGTGGTGGCGGCAGTGGAGCTGGTGGCGGGCGCGGTGGAGCGGTGCAGCGTGGGGGGTTCGGCGGTGGCCAGAGGCAGCAGCAGCAGCGTCCCAGCGAGACCCCGTCGCCCCAGCAGCTCCGTGAGTGGTACTCTCAGCGTGGGGGGTCAGGGGGTGGGGGTACCTGCCCGTACGTCATCCGCACAGGTGACCGCACTGGCCAGACCTGTGGGAGGTTTCACACGGCGCAGTGCTGCTTCTTTCGTCTCGACGACGCCTGGTGCGAGCAGTTCCCTGACGCCTCTGAGCTGCCCCGCTGGGCTGATCTGCTTAAAAAGAACATTGATATCTTTGCTCTTGATTATGATGCTATCCTTGGTGCCATGTATGCATTGACTATTAGTGTTGAGGGTGACTGTTACCTGAGTGTACCGCCAGACCCGGGTATTGGGACCAGTAAGGCTGCCGCTTTAGGTGCTAGTGCGTCTGCTGCTCTAGGTCCTGGTGAGGCTGCTGCTCTAGGTGCTAGTGAGTTTGCTGCTCTAGGTGCTCGTGCGTCTGCACCTGCTGGTACTGCGTCTACTGAGGCACTGCACACCTTCACACTTGACTCGGGTGCTTCCCACTGCTTCTTTCGTGACCGCACAGTCCTTGAGCAGCTAGCACGGCCTGTTGCTGTCTCCCTCGCTGACCCCTCTGGGGGCCCGGTCCTTGCGACCTCCTCCACTGTCCTCCCTTGTCCTGCGGTTCCGGCCGGCACCCTGTGTTGATTGTGTAGGTGGTTGTGGTATTTTGCTCTAGCTGGTTGTGGGCTAAGGGTTTGGGCAAAATGTGGTGGTTAGACTTGTTGCGGGCTGGAATTGATCTCGCACCCAACAAGCACCAACAAACCTTTGCTATTCACTACAACACCTTTGGTGTTGCTAGTTTAGCACTTTGGGTTGTTGGGGATTGTTGTAGGGCGAGGGTTGGGCTGGTAGGGTTTGAACAACTCGTCACTTTGCAGAGCTGAACTCTTGCTAAAACTAGTCTCTTGATCTAATCCATGGCTGCCTATTAACTCCGCCAGAATACACCGTCGCACTTAAATCGCGATAGCGATCGGCCTAGATCTTGGTTGAAGGCGTGCGTTACTATTCTGGATAGTAGAGATTAAGACCTTTCCAACGCGTACCTGCTCATAGTTTAAAGTTACGTGAGCTGCACGCAATGTTCCGTCGAAGTCGGCGGACTTAATCTCTTGTACGCTCTCCAGATTCGCTCGCTTTCCATCAGTGGTATCAGAGCTGGTTAGGCCTGCGACATTCCCTCCTATTATCACATTTCGAATTGGCTTAAGAACCTCCAGATCTAGGGTTGGTTATGGCCCAGAAATTTGATGGCCCTCCTAGGTTCACCGGCTCGGATTTTTCGCTATGGCGGTTCCAGTTTACGCTCTGGCTAGGTATTAAAGACCTAGAGGGCGTTTTGGAGGGATCGGAGCGAAGACCTGAAGCTGATGAAGGAAAGGCATCTACTGGAGTCTCTAGCCAAGTGGGAGAAGGGGCTGGGGGAGCCTCTAGCTCATCCATAACTGAGGGAAGTGGAGGTGGATCAGCAGCACCGCGAACCGGAAGGCAACGGCTTAGTGCGGAGGAGCTCATCAAGGCACAGGAAGCATGGGACCGCAAGGACAAGCAAGCGTTCCAGTACCTGTGTTGGGCCTTGGAAGGCCAACTAGAGCTCCTAAAGATGCTGATTGACCTGAAGGGGAAGCAAGTAGCAGCTGCCCAAGCATGGAAGAGAGTTCAAGATCGCCATTTGCAAAAGAGACTGCTAAGCATACTCACATGGGGGAAGCGGTTTTACACCATGGAACGCAACTATGGTGATGGGGAGACCATGGTGCAGTATCTCCAGAGGGTGGATGAGTATGTGAGAGCCTTAGAGGACTTGAACTACACTGTAGATGAGAAGGAGATCATCTACACTGCACTCCAGGGGCTGGACCAAGAGGCAAACGAGGCCCTGCTGCAGTACCTTCACCTTGAGCAACAGAAATGGACCAAGACCTGGATATGGGAGGTGTTGGTCTCTGATGAGGCTCGCAAACGGGATGCTGGTAGAGGAGTTGAAGGGGGAATGGGGGCAGGGGATAGGGCTGCCTCCAAGAAATACCAGCAGCGGCAAGGAGGTGGGGGGAAGAAGAAGAAGGATCTCGACAAGTGCCTCGTCCCTGGATGCAACCGGAAGCACTCTTGGAAGGAGTGTTGGAGCCGACCAGATGGGTGGAAGCCTCAAGGGTACCCAGGAGAGGCTCCACCTGTCACTAGGCCTGAGTGGGTGGAGAGGAGGATGAAGAATGGAGCATGGAACAAGATGGGCAGCAAGGAGAAAGTGGCAGCAGTGGCGGCAAACGAGGATAAGAAGAGAATGGAGGACTCATCGGATGATGGATTCTCCTTCTTATCCTTGGAGATAGAGACGGCGCTTGCTGGTCGTACGTTGGCTGACCCCAATCTGCTCATTCTGGACTCTGGAGCAACCTGTGGAATGGTACCTCGGCGCGACCTCTTCACCACCTATCACTCCCTCCCACCTAACTCCAGAAATGTGATTGTGGGGAGCGGAGATGCGCTACAAGCAATCGGCATCGGCACCATCACCGTCAAGGGGAAGGAGGGGGAGGTGCTGAATGTGAAGGGTGTGCTTCATGTTCCTGAATTGGCAGCCAACCTTCTCTCATGCTCTCAGCTTGCGAAGCAAGAATACATATGCACCTTCACCATGGAAGGTGGCACGGTTCGCAAGGGCGGAGCTGTGGTGATGGAGGCCAAATTAGAGAAGGGTCTATACCTTGTTCCAGTTTGTGTGCCTCAGATGGAGAGGGCACATGGTGTTGAAGCCGGAGAAGCCGCTTGTAGCACCCGTTGGAGGGACGTGGAGCAGGTGACGGCAGATTTGCTGCACCTACGCATGGGGCATGCAGGAAGGCAGCAACTTGTGGAGTGTGTGAAGAAGGGGGAGCTGAAGGGTGTGGAGATCAAGGAGGGTGGTGGGCAGCCAAGCAAGTGCCCTGATTGCACGACCGGGAAGCTGTCAAGGACCTCTTTCCCTACCTCCACCACTAGAGCCTCCGCACCTCTCGAGTTGGTGCACACGGATGTGTGTGGCCCCATGCAAACACCAGATAGGGAGAAGGGCAGCAGATACTTCATCACCTTCTTGGATGACTTCAGCCGCCTAAGTTGGGTTACCTTGGTGAAAACCAAGGATGAGATGGCCAAGGTCTTCAAGCGTTGGATACGCTATGCGGAGAGGGAAGCCGGGGCGAAGGTGAAGATACTAAGGTCTGATCGGGGTGGGGAGTACATGGGGAAGGATCTGGAGTCTTTCCTTGAAGACAAGGGCATCACCCACCAGCTTTCAGTTGCCTACACGCCGCAGCAAAATGGGGCAGCGGAGCGGCTAAACCGGACCCTCATTGACCTTGCTCGAGCCATGATTGCGCATGCGCAGCTGGACCATACTTGGTGGGGGGCAGCAGTGCAATATGCCAACTGGGTTAAGAACAGAATGGGCAGCAAGGGGCTAGGGGGCAAGAGCCCTTACTTCATGTGGACCAGGAAGGTGCCTAGTGTGTCCATGGCACGAGTGTGGGGGTGCATGGCGCAGTACAAAGTGCCCGACCAGCAACGGAGGAAGCTGGACCCTAAGGCACAATGGGGAATTTTCCTTGGGGTGTCGGAGAGGAGCAAAGCTTGGATGTTGTGGAGTGTGGCGGATCAGCGGGTGGTGGAAAGTCGGGATGTGGTTTTCCACGAGGGGCTGAGCTACAAAGGGTGGAAGGAGCATGGTGCTAGTACAGTTGGGAGCTCCCTCCAGGATCCCTACACCTCTTCCATCTTTGAGGGGGCATGGGAGGACCCTGGAGAGGAGCTGGAGGAGCAGCAAGAGGAACAAAAGGCAGCTGCACCTCACCATGAGGAGTCACCAACTGCTGGCTCTACCCCTGACTCTAACGCACCAGCCCATGACCCGGAGCAGCCACAGGGGCAGCAGCAGCAACAAGAGAAGCCGCAGCAGCCACCACAGCAGCATACACCGCCTGTTCCTGTGAGTAGGTGGCAGCAACTACTGCAGCAGCAGCTATCTAAGTCACCACGGTCCCCCTTGAAGAGAGTAACTTGGAAGGAGAAGCTGCAAAGTTTGGAGCAGGGGGAGGCATCACCTCTGCGCCGCACCACACGCATCTCCCGGCCACCTGAAAGGTTCACACCAAGTGCACAGTATGCTTGCATGCATGATCATGAGGTGCATGATTTGGAGGAGTGCATGCTTGTGGATGCTGAGGGGGGTGAGCTTGGGCTTGATTTGTGTCTCATGGGTCAGGTGCATGAGCCTAAGTCGGTCAAGGAGGCCTTGTCCCGTCCTGAGTGGGTCGAGTCCATGCGTGAGGAGCTTGAGTCTCATAGGGTGAACGAGTCTTTTGAGCTGGTTGATCCAGCTTGTGTGCCACCTGGAATGGAGGTCTTGAGGTGTCAGTGGGTGTGGAAGTATAAGCACATGGCTGATGGGAGCATTGAGAGGCCTAAGTCTAGGTTGGTGGCCATGGGGAACACTCAAACACGAGGCGTTCACTATGACCAGGTATATACCCCGGTGGGTAAACCTACCACCCTGAGAGGTTCTCTTGGGATGGCAGCAACCTCGGGGTTTCACATCCATCACATGGATGTGACCACTGCCTATCTTCATGGGGTCTTGAAGGAGGATCTTTACATGAGGCAGCCACCTGGTTTTGATGATGGGTCCGGCAAAGTTTGCCGACTCAGGAAATCAATCTATGGGCTAAAGCAAGCTCCAAGGCAGTGGTACCTCAAGTTTGATGAGGCGCTGATGGATTTTGGGTTTGAGAGGTCGGAGTGTGACCCCGCCTTGTACCACTTGGTGAGGCGTGAGGGCAGGCTGTCCCTCTACCTCTATGTGGATGACATTCTGCTCATGTCTTCGAGCATGGTCTTGCTGGACGAGGTGAAGGGTCTATTGTCCTCTCGTTTCCGCATGAAGGACTTGGGGGAGGCTAAGTACTATTTGGGGGTGCAGATTGAGCGTGATGAGAGTGGCATCTTGATTCATCAGGAGAGGTACATTCTCAACATGCTTGAGTCCTTTGGCCTGTCTGAGGCTAACCCCGTGCGTACCCCTCTCCCTACAGGGTTCGACGTGCATGCACATGCTGAGGAGCCCTTGCTGCGAGATGAGCTGGTCCAGCTCTATCAAAGCATTGTGGGGTCTCTCATGTATGCAAGCACGACCACACAGCCCCAGATTGCTTATGCAGTGTCACAGCTGTCCAAGGTGGTGTCTTGTCCTATGGCATTTCACTTGCAGGCTGCTAAGAGAGTGCTAAGGTACTTGAAAGGTTGTGTCAAGTCAGGTATCTTCTACCCCGCACACAGCAAGCCTCAGGTCGAGTTGGTGGGCTTTAGTGATGCTGATTATGCTGGGGATTCAGCTGATCGCAAGAGTCACACCGGCTATGTATATTGCCTCAATGGTGCAGCCATCTCTTGGCAGAGCAAGAGGCAGCCGGTGGTTGCATTTTCCACCACTGAGAGTGAGTACATCAGTCTATGTCAGTGCATTCAGGAGGGTGTGTGGCTGAAGCGTTTGTTTGGGGAGTTTGGGCATGAGTTTGCTGGTGGTGTGCCTGTGTTTGTGGACAACCAGTCTGCCATTGCCCTTGCACAGAATGCATGCTTGCATGGCCGCACCAAGCACATGCAGG